GGTGTCCGATCAGCCGTTGACACGGTGTCCACGTTGACTAATCGGGGCTTTGCACATCAGGCTTTGTTGTGTGACTATCGTTGATCTCGGACGTATGGGAGGGCGTGGGAGGCGGTGTAGTGTGGCCATAAACGAGACCGCGCATGTGTGTCGGCGTCTTCGCGCAGGAGTGCACATTCCTCTATGCTACTAGAATGTGGGCATTTGGATGAATCACTCAAGAATCCGCGCCGAACTTCGGCCGAGTCAACGCAGTCGCGCGCACCCGTCCCTGTAAATTTTCACTCTTTTCCTGTGGCCGACCATTTCAAACCAATAACTTAATTCACAGGCTCGGACATTTTGGCCGGCAAGTTTGAATTGGGTTTACACACAGGCATGAGGAGCTGTAAGTACTGGCAGAAGTGGCCAATGTTCGTAGCAATTAAGCCTACTCCTGAGTCCGTCTTACTCTCCTTGACATATTCTGCCCCGCACTCCATTGTCAACTTTTTGAGGCTGACGGCACAACTCAGCGTTCGAACACGGTCCGGCTTTTTCGTCGTCTTTTCCAGTACTTGGGCGTTTTAAATTGTCTGTACCTTCTTACTGCAGTCCTTATGATACCTGCATTTTTTTGTGAGGTCCGAGCAAGTGTGTCAGACGACACTGCGCCCATTTGTATTCTTAACGGATTTGCATTGGGTAAGCCTCTGATGTGTGGGGAGAAGGATAGAGGGAACGAGCCCGATCCAGCTTGAATCCTTGCTTGAAAAGAGCAGACTTCTTCAAAACCATCCCGAGATGCCAGCAGTCCCGGTCGTGAAGGTAGTTGACTGAGCATTAGTCTGCAATGGCTACTTACTGTGGCTTTGATTACGTTGCCATTTTAGCCAGCTCCAAGACGTCTGGAACCTTGAAGTTAGGGAGAAGTTAGTTTGTCGTTTGTGTATCCCCGTCCCCGTCCCTGTCCACATCCGCTTACATTTACTTTTTCGTGCGCTCTAAGTGTGATAAATGTGAGAAGAGAGATGAGAATAGTGCAACACAAGTACAAGTCGCAGCTGCACTCGCTTCCTAAAGCTGTGTTTGACTTCGTCGTTTTTTAACTCAAAAGCAGAGAGAGAGAAGATTGTGGAAAGTACGCCCTTGTTTAATGTCGATCTTATTTCACACCAGGCTTTCTTTCCTATCCACAGCAGGGCTTATAACCTTGACCACGGTCCGGCTCATAGAGGATGTCGTTGTGATTTTTTTTTTCACGGC